TCCAGGTGCGAAACCCGTCTCACGTGCACCATACCGACTGAGTCCGACCGAACTAACAGACATGAAGAAACAGATAGAGTATCTACTGGATAGAAAACTGATCCGCCCATCCACCTCTCCCTACGGTGCACCAGTTTTCTTCACTCCAAAACCAGATGGCAGCTTATGGATGTGCATCAACTACCGCGCACTGAACAAACAGACAGTTAAAAACAAGTACCCCATACCGCGCATCGACGACTTACTAGACCAACTACGTGGTGCAACAATCTTCTCGAAGCTGGACCTACGGTCGGGTTACTGGCAGATCAAGATGGCAGATAACTCGGTTCACAAGATGGCGTTGCGTACCAGATACGGCTCCTACGAATACTTGGTGATGCCGTTCGGACTCTGCAATGCACCAGCAACGTTTCAGGCGGAGATGAATCACATCTTACGGCCCCTGTTGGACGAATGCATGGTGGTGTACCTAGACGACTTTATTATCTACTCCATCAACATGAAGGAGCACTTGGAGCATCTGCGGAAAGTGTTCGAGATCCTGCGGAACAACAAGTTCTACGTGAAGCTGTCGAAGAGCGACTTCGCCCTGAAGAAGGTGCAGTTTCTCAGGCACATGGTGAGTGCCGAGGGCGTACACGTGGACCCGCGGAAGATCGAAGCCGTCAAGAAATGGAAAGTACCGGAGAACGTGAAGGAGTTGCAGCAGTTCCTAGGCTTCGCCAACTACTACAACAGGTTCATGCCGCAGTACGCTAAGATAGCAGCGCCACTGACCGACATACTGAGAAAGGATACGCCCTACAAATGGGATACACCTCATCAGCAAGCCATGGAGCAACTACAGACAGCACTGACTACAGCGCCAGTACTCATCCTACCAGATCCAGACAAGGACTACGTGGTGGAAGCAGACGCTAGTGACCAAGCAGTCGTAGCAGTACTGATGCAGAATCACGGACGCGGTTTGCAGCCCATCGCCTACCTCAGTAAGAAGCTACACGGAGCAGAACTGAACTACCCCATCCATGACAATGAAGCTTTAGCGATAGCCATAGCCTTCAAGGCGTGGAGGTGTTACCTAGAGGGAGCCAAGGCTACAGTCTATACTGACCACTGCAGTCTCAAATATCTGAAGTCGAAGGCGACGCTCTCACGATGACAGGTGCGGCGGGTGGACTTCTTGGAAACTCACTTCCACTACGACATCATCTACAAGCCCGGGATACACAACAAAGCAGACGCATTGAGCCGCCCCGGACATGTAACAGGCATCCAGCTCGACGGGATGAACCCTCTGCTTAAGGGTCTATTCCAACATGGGTACTCCGTGGACGCAGAAATCGCTACAGCACAGACCAAGAAGTTGTTACAGTGGGAGAAAGACTTAGCTGTAAGGAAGGGATCAGGAAAGATTTGGGTACCGAATTACGCCCCGCTACGGCAAATCCTATTGGAGGAGATTCACGACGTACCATACGCGGGACATTTCGGGAGCAACAAAACGTTAGCAGGGATAGCGAAGTATTACTACTGGCCCGGGATGGCAGCAGACGTGCAGCAGTTCGTCACCTCTTGCGACACGTGCCAGCGGATGAAGAGTAGCAAGCAGAAAAAAGCAGGGTTACTTCAGCCTCTACCCGTACCGGAGCAGCCATGGCAGGTCGTTAGCCTCGAATTCATCATAGGACTTCCTTCAACCTCACGGAGACATGATTCCATCCTCGTAGTTATCGATAAGTTCTCCAAAACGGGTCACTTCATACCGACCAACGCCACAGCTATAGCTGAAGCAACTGCTCGCCTCTTCTTTGACCGCATCATCACCATCCACGGCATCCCCGCTACACTCATCTCAGACAGAGACCCCAAATTCACGAGTAAGTTCTGGAAGGAGCTCATGGGATTTTTGGGGACTAAACTTGCGATGTCCTCAGCATACCACCCACAGACTGACGGACAGACAAAGCGACTCAATCAGGTGGTTGAACAGCTACTGCATACAGTTTGCAAAGACGACGTCAGCCACTGGGACACACAGTTACCGACCCTAGAGTTCGCTTACAACAACGCATCACATGCGGCCACAGGGAAAACTCCTTTCTTCCTGTGTTACAGACGGGAACCACTCACACCACAGCAGCCAACCACACCGGCACACGTCCAAGCCGCACATGACTTCGTCACCACCATGCAGCAGATATGGGAGAAGACTCAGCAACGACTCACCACGATGCAGACCTCCCAGAAGCAGTATGCCGATCGTCAGCGACGTGATCACTTAGTAGCAGTCAGAGATCAGGTGCTTCTTGACACGCGCAACTTGAACCTGTCTCACCTCCCATCCAAACTCTGGCCTGGCTTCTGTGGTCCTTTTCTCGTTGAGGCACAGGTGACACCAGTTACATTCCGCTTGCGCTTACCAGATACATGGAAGCTTCACAATGCTTTCCATGTTCAGCTACTGAAGCCCTACAAGGACCCCAACCAGCAGTTCCAGGGACGGCAGCTACCGCCACCACCACCGGTTCTCGTACAGGATGAACCAGAGTACGAAGTGGAGCGCGTTCTCACTCATCGGCGCCGCGGCGGCAAGACCCTCGGGTTCCTGATACGCTGGAAGGGATACGACCCCACTGAGGATAGTTGGGTTGCAGAAGCTGATATGGGCAACGCACGCCGTGCTCTCAAGGACTATCTTATCAAGCAGGGTGTATCTCACGCCACCCAGCTTTAAGGGGGGGACATGTGAGAGTACGACGGTTTATGCTAGCTATGCTTGCTTGCTTTTACTTTATTATGCTATTTCTAGCATAGGATAATTATATGCATGCATGAATTGCTTGATTTCCTAGGCTAGGTGCTTTCCTATATTTTATTATAGTTATAGCACCGAGCTAGGTTGCGTGCACCGAATTCTGGCTTTTCGGTTGCCACCGAATTGCCTCCTACCGAATTCGGGAATGATCTGTTCGGGACGCTTCGCGACCCGCGGAAACTTCGCGTAACACCTGGTTACAGGGCCTTGCGTCGAGCCTATATATAGCCTCGTGTTGTACCTGTTATGTGATGCTATCATTTGCATTCACGTCTGTCTGCCTCCCATCATATGTTCGTGCGTTGCATGCGTATTGTGAGTGTGTGCAAGAATTTGTGTTTTGTGCGGTTTGGATTTTCTGAGTGTGTGTGAATGTTATTTGGCTTGAGCAGATATCTGAAGTGACTCCACTGCTCAAGAGCTTTCCGACGAACCAAGTATCGCTTCAATCGGAGCACGAACAAGAAAGTTACGAACGTTGGAGTTCGTATGCTTTCTGTACTTCGGTTGTGGCGACTATGGGAAGTTGTGGGGTTGACTCAATATGGGGTACAGACTTTTGGGGGTTGGGAATTCGAACCCATCACTGTAGAATGCTGCCATGTGGTTGGGTGAAGCCAAACCAGGTTGGCAAGTGTGGCCAAGTGGGTTGAGGTGGATGGCATGAGTTGGGAAAGTGACAAATGTGAAAGTGGGGTTGCCTATGGGGAAGGGAATTGTGTGGCATGGGGTTTCCTTGGTTGGGGAATCTCTTGGGACCTTCCCTCTCGTCCTCCTCTACTCTCTCACCTGGTTTAGTGCAACTCCAACTCTCTTGTGTGGAACTCTTGTGAACTTGTGAAACTATTGTGAGTGAATTAAGTTTCTATGTGGCAGCATACCCCCTGGTGCGCCGAGAAGCATAACTCGAGATTTACTCCACCTTTCGATACGATTCAAATTGGGAATGATAGCCACGGACAAGGGCTACAACATACTCGAGTTTGATACGATTCTAACAGTGCACTTTTCGTCGACAACGTTTCTTGTGAAGTCGCGGTTTCTGTCCAGAATTTCAAGCCAACGATTTTGAGAAATTTAGGCTCCTAATCTTCATAGACTCAGTCCTTAGTCTCTAACAGTACCCAGGTGATTCATTCAATTCAATTCAATTCAATTCACACTCTCTTTTCTGAGCTCGATGCTAGATCCTCACAATATATAGCCTCGTGTTATACCCAGGTGATGATTCAATTCAAACCCACTTTTCTGAGCTCGATCCTAGATCCTCACAGACGAGGTTCAACCTCCGGGGGCGAACATCATCAGTGGCATGTGGATTTTTAGGGTGAAGCGGCCGCCAGGTTCTCCGCCTACCTTCAAGGCACGTTACGTTGCTCGAGGCTTCAGTCAGCGTGAGGGGGTTGACTTCTTTCAGACCTTCTCCCCCACTCCAAAGATAACCACTCTTCGGGTATTGCTACACGTTGCAGCTCAGCGTGATAACGAGCTTGACTCTCTTACTTCAACACAGCTTTCTTACAGGGCAGCCTGCACGAGGAGATCTGGCTGCGCCGCCCACCTGGCTTCACTGGGTCGTTTCCTGCAGGTACCCAATGGAGCCTCCAGCGGCCAGTCTGCGGTCTCCTACATGGCATGTTTTTTCTTGCTAGGTTGTGATCAGTGTACTGCCTTGCTATTATAACTCAGCAAGTGAACTGACCTTGTGGCTGCTTGCATGTGGTATCCTTGAGATCCACCCTGGGCTTTGCTTTGCTTTGTTCTCTTGTCTGACTGGTCTTGTGACTGTTAGTTGTATTAGCTAACGCCCACTTAGCCTATGGGGGTGTGTCAAACATTATATGTTTATGCTTTGTAGGCTATAGTGGGGCTTGCCTTAGAGGGGATATAGCTCTTGGGTTTTCTACTTGTATTCCACTCAGTTCTAGTTCATTCAATCCTCCAGAGATGATTCTGACATGAACCCCCCCCCAGTCCACCCCGTTTCTCCCCTCCCTGATTCGCCCCTTCCCCCAGCCCACCGTAATCCACCTGAAACCCCCCCTCAGCCCACCCCGCTTCTCCGCTCCCTGCTTCTCTCGCCATCCCCAACCCAAGAATGAAGCAACAAAAACGAATCTAGGGGCCACCCCGCATATGCGCACATAAGCAAGAATGCTAATGCCGAAACCCACCATACCTACTGCCCAGAATCAACAGCAAGAGCAGCAGCAGTGTTGACTGCGAGCCCCGGTGAGAGGTCAGCACAGCGCATGAGAGGCAGGTGGGGCACCGCAGCCAGGGCACGCTCCAGCAGCAGTGGCTGGCCGTCACGGCACTGACCCTGGGTGGGGGGTTGGTGGTAGCACGGCTCTGGGGGGCAAGGGGGGCAGGAGGAGGAGGCAAAGCGGGCCGGGGTGTGGGGGGCAAGGGCAGCAATGAGGTAGCCGAAGGTGGAGGTGGGAGAGAGGAGGAGGGAGTGGGAGAAGAGGGCGAGGGAGAAGAGGTCGATGATTGCATCGTCCACGTTGCGCCCGTTGCTGTTGTCTTGCTGCTCCTCCTCCGTCAGCTGCACCACCTCCACCTCCGCCCTTGTACCACCACTGCTGGTGTCCCTGCCGCTCTCGCTGCTCAAAGTGCCACCTTCCGCAGGGCTGGTGCTGCTGCTGCTGCTGTCGGTTGCCATGGGGTCGTACCGTATGGCCCCGCATATGCGGCGCAAATGATAGAACTAAAAATTCACCAATCCATCCATCGCCAATGCCTACAACGCTTCTTTGAGCAGCATAGGAATATGACACACAATGTTCTTGTAGTTGTGTTGTTTGATCACATGTTGCTTCTAGCAGGATGGTCGTAGTAGGATTATGACCTTACTTTATTGAACGAATCACACTTGTTGGTGAATTTGTTGTACCATAATAATCTCACTTGTCTTACCCCATACTGCAAGGAGTTGTTCACATGAACGCTTGCGTTTTAGTAGGAGGCAATACCGTATGGCCCCGCATATAAGTGTCGTCCTATTATAAGAGGTCATAGGCACCGCTGCTTTTATCTGGAGCATGGCGCTTATGGCCGGAACTCGATTATAAGCGCCCCCCCCCTGCAAAACCCTGATATATGACTACCATATCACATTTAACAACCAGAATCACATGATCCTAGACAGAAAGAGGAAAAAGGGAAAGAGAGACATAAATGAAGGAGAATGGAGGTGGAGAAGGAAAGGGAGGAGGAAAGTAAAACTGCCAAAAAAACTCAAACGTGACACCTATAAAAAGCCCCATCAAGATACTCAATCAAAACACCCAGTCAAGACATCCCATCAAGACACCCCATCCCGCACCCCATTTCACCCCCCCTCAGTCACATCTGCGCATCCACCATGTACAGGGCCTCCACCCAAAGAGCCCCGCCCTCCACCTCGACGTGGTCCCTTTCCCGGTCCACCAAATCCACATTCATTCCCCCCATGGAAGACGCCGCCCGAAGCAGAATGACACAAGCTTGCGCCCGTTGTAACTCCACCCCGATGAGCGCCTTCAGAGACCCCAAAATATAACCCGAAAACAAAGTGTCATCCTCCCGACAAGCCCAGCCACCGCCGGAAACGACCGCCGAGACACCCCCACGTCTCTACTTTTTTTTTCTTCTTCTTCTGTTCTTTTTGGAACATAATACACTACACAATGCATCACATCCGCAGTCGTAACTGAAGGAGGAGGGAGGCACAGACCAACCTAATAGGGTTTGCAATGTCCTCCCTGTTGATCGCTTACGGTGTTGGTGCAATCCTACGGTTTGCACTTGGCTTGTTGCCTGTGTGTGTGCATGCGTGTGTGCGTGGAATGGTATGAGGGCATGGGATAATATATATTTCATGCTTATAATAATGTGTGAATGATGAGTCATGATGTCGAGTGTGTGTGTGTCAAGTCAATAGCGAATTATCGCTAGTCGCGTGTAACGTGGTCATTTTGTGTGTCCCGCGCGGTTTCTATTTTGTCGTGCGCGGTTTCTATTTTGTCGCTTGTCGAACGTTCGGCGTGTCGCAGGTGTGTGCAGCAGACCCATCAAGAACTCAAGGATGAGTTTGTGATGATGAACCCGAGCCCTGGTGTCAACATTCAAGTGATCGCGAAGCTCGCCAACAGGGTACACCTCAAGAGATTGAAGATCGTTACATTACTTTGTGTAGTGTAACATTTCACTTGGTGTAGGCCCTAGTGAAGGGTACTTTCGAGACCCTTCGTGGTTGGAGACAGTGTGCCACTGTTCCACTTCACTGTACCTTGGCTCTTGGGGTTTGTAGGAGCTGAGAGTCATTCCCAACTCGTAACTCTTCCTATCTTGTGTTCTAAAGCTATAGTGGCTGCCATAGTGCCGTTCGTTCAAACCGATGCTGTGTCGTCAATACTTGGTGAGATCGTGCGACCTAAATTGCCTGGCGACGTTAAGACGCTCCAAGTTGAATCAGGTCATTTGAAGCTGTGACTAGAACGCTATGAACGTTTAAAGCCACTGTGCATAAATCCGACTGTGCACTCTATCTTTCGTTTTAGGCACATTGAAGCCTACTGTGACTATAACATACGGAGGCTTAAAAAGGGTACTAGGTCTCTCCCATATCGAGCTGAAGGCCTTGTTCCACGTCAGATGCTCGTCTTGTTCACATATACGGCTCAGTGCTGCCACCTCTCCAGCTGTCAAGAGTTGCCCTCCTCTAGCTCCTCTCCCCTTTTGTCCCCCTTTTCTGCCACTTCCTCCACTGTACATCCGCACATGCCTCTTGAAATTGGCCCCAATCTTCCTGGCCCCGCGTCTGGGATCAAAGGTTTTCTCCCGGAAAGCCATGTCACATCTTTCCAACCAAATGTACCTGAACGTAACTGCGATAAGCGTCGATTCCGGAAAACCGGATGGTGTGTTGTCTTCGGCGAATAACAACTCTCCCAGTGTGCCCACCGCTCTTGCTGGGTGCGAGTCTTGAAGCGCGCCACAGATTCCCTTAACCACTGGGCAGCTCATCAAACAGTGAGTTGGCGAATCTTCCTGCTTGGAGTAGGGGCACCATGCACAAGAACCGAAGAAAGCCTACCTGATGTCCACTTGCAGGTTGTGACTGTGTAACCTCGACAGTACCTCTCTTGCTTTGGCTGGAATTGCCAGCGAGTCTCTCTTCGCGATGGCTTTACCCCAGTCAATCTTCCCTCCCCAGTTCTCCTCTCACTTCTTCTGCTGCTTAGGCTGTTATGCCGGTTTCGTGAGCAGATGTCTCAGCTTCCTTTGCGCCGTAGGTTTTCCCTCCTCACACAAAAACTTGGCCCTTAATCTTGTACGTGGATCACCTGCCTGGCCCAACAAACAGCCTCCTTTGGCCACCATTGGAGTTAATATACTTAGCATCACCGGCGGCTGCGTCTCAATTCCCAGCTGCTTAATTTTCCCTTTGTTGTCCACCTCCACTCTTTCGCACTTCAGCTCCTTGTTTTCTGCTAGCGCCACCTACAGATAACGCTGCCTCCCCCCTACCGTTTTTCCAACTTTGACTAGGGTCGTAGCTTCAGCAACTTCCACCGCCGTCACCTTCGTGATTAATTTATTTTACTATGAAAGGGGTGAACTGCATGCCCCGGTTGCGTGCAAGCAGAGGCGCGTAATCAGTCATTTTGCGACGCTCCCTCTCCTTTGCCACCACACCTATAGAACGCCCGCACTGCCCTAGCAGAGATGGAGACAGCGATAGCGGGTCAGCGACGCTGATCTCTAAAACGTGAGGCTCTCTGGCCATTGGTCGTCGCACCGCTACGTCAACCCGCTTCCCCAGCAGCACCACACTATCCTCCATCATCACCACCCCCGCTGACGCCTTAGAGATCCTCGTCACCGCAAACTTCACCTCATCATGCACCAAAAATGGACCGTGCTGGTGCTTGTATCTCAGGGCATGATGCGGGTCTGCTGGGTCAACATACGCTGTGCCACAAACACACCTCCTTGCCACCTGCAGCTACTGAATTGGGAGCCCGAGCCGTATAGTAGCAGCAATGCCCCACTCAGCCGCAGTGAATGTGAGAGCTGAGTGAGCCGGGACCACCAAAACCCATGCACCAGCCCCCGAGCCCTGAAGGGATGTGAAACGGGCCAGGGTGGCATCGTCACGAGCCGAGCGGCGCAGTGCCTGGAGCACCTCTACAGCCAACTGCCGTTGTCGCGCCTGAAAAACCCGAAGAGGAGGGGCCGCTACACACAGAGGTAAGCCCGACATCTCCTGGCGTATAGTCGCAGGCAGCTGCTCAATAGCCTTGGCAAACTAAGGATCAAGAAACGCTGCCCGTGCCAAAGTGATGAGGTGCTCTGCAAACATCGCCTCCTCGCCCGCCACCCCCAACTGTGCAATATCATGTGCGGCCTGCTCCCACCCACAAACATAGGACAGCGGTCTCAAAGAGGCCGCCGCCCGGATCCCAAACCCTCCGATATGCAGCTGCATGCGAGCGCGCCTAGACCGGTCGCGGTCCTGCTCTCAAGTGCCAGGTGGGAAAAGCTGCTCAAAGCAACCCTCCAGACAGCTATCCCAATTCTTAAAGGCCTCCACCACCTCCGGACGAGGCAGCATAGTCCAAGCCAGGTACATCGGCCATGCTGAAACTGCAATAGCGAGGAGATGTGAAGCCATCTGGGAAGCAGAGGGGGGCATGGCAATGGCGTCTGCAACTGTCAAAGCCGCTCCCGTAACCAGACCACCTCCCAATCCTCCTCCCTAATAGGCACGCCCACCACAGTGAGATCCTCCTCCACCCGCTACATCCCCAATGGCAGTGCCCGCTCCCCATCCCCGCCTTCGCGCTCCCAAAACCGGCACTTGTGTGCCTGCACCTCCAGCCCCACCCACTCCAACCACTCCTGTAGCACCCCAATAGCCTCTAGAATCCTAGCCGCTGGTCCCATGATATAGGTATCGTCTACATAACTCAAGTAGTTCCCTGAACTCTCTAGTCACCGACTCCATCACATGCTGCTGCGTGAACGCGAAAAGAAAAGGGTCGAGCAAGCCCTCCTGCCGCGATCCTCATGCCGACTCAGGGCTCTGTACAAAAGGGCCCACTCGGAGGTACTTTTTGCTAGGTGGCCCGTAGAAAACACGCAAGAATGCAATCAACTTGGAGAAAGGCGACTCCCGCGGCCCCTCAAACATCGCATGACGGTGAAACGAATTGAAGGCGTACGCGACGTTTATCTGCAGCGCACACCAGTCGGGGTGAGTCGCCAGCGCTGACCAAAAAGAATTAGTAAGAATCTCCACCCCGGCCCTGGTGCCCGCTCCCAACTGGTTGCACGGCAGAAAGTAGGAAGCCATCGCAGGGCGGAGCGAGATGTAGAGAGCTCGAGCAAGGATACGCGGAAGCACCTCCCCAATCGCCACCGGCTGGACGTCGCCGTTAGGCTTGGAAAGCCCAACTAGGTTGGATGCGGTGAGCTAGGGGCGAGCCCGCTCGAGGACCTGTTGTCAGATTTATATCACATAGCTGCTGTAGGCTATAGTGGGGTAGCACATATAGGGTATAGTTTTCTAGGGTTTGTACTTGTACCCAACTTTCCCTTAGTCATTCCATTCCTCATAATTTTCACATGGTATAGAGCGGGTTCCCTCGTGGGAACGCTTCCTAGGGCCCACCCAATCGATTTTTTTTTTTCCTGCCCAGAGCGCGCTTCGCTCCTCCCCGAGTCGCACCCCGCATGCCCTCCCTACCGTCGCGCCCTCTCTAGGCCCCTTACGGCCTCTTCGCGTCGCCCTTAGCGGCCTCTCTGACGGCCCTTCCAGCCGCCCTTACGGCCCCTCGCGCCGCCCTTACGGCCCCTTGCGCCGCCCTTACGACCCCTCACGCCGCCCTTACAGCCCCCCTACGGCCCGTCGCTGCCCTTCGTGGCCCCTCGCGCCGCCCTTCACTACCCGTCGCCGGCCTTCGCGGCCCCTCGCGCCGCCCTTACGGCCCGTCGTCGACCTCCGCGGCCCCTCGCGCCGCCCTTCGCTGTCCGTCGCCGCCCCTCGCGGCCCGTCCGCCGCCCTTCGCGGCCTTTCTCGGCCCGCCGTCGCTGCCTCTGCAGCAACAGCAGCAGCCGCAGTCGCTACAGCGGCCGCGGCCGCCGTCCCCCAGCAGTAGCAGCCGCCGCCCCTGCAGCAGCACCCGCCGACCCTGCAGCAGCGGCCGCCGATGTCTCTGCAGCAGCGGCCGCCACCGTCCCTGCTGGAGCGGCCGCCGCCGTCCCTGCAGCAGCGGCCACCGCCATCCCCTGCAGCATCAGCCGCTGCCCCTGCAGCAGCCGAGCCGCCCGAGCTGCCGAGCCGCCCGAGCCACCGAGCCGCCGTTGCCGCCGAGTCGCCCGAGCCGCCGTTGCCGCCGAGCCGCCCGAGCCGCCGTTGCCGCCGAGCCGCCCAAGCCGCCATTGCTGCCGAGTCGCTGGTACTGCCG